ATGGTACATAAATATTTCGTTGGTGCTTTGGTTCAACGCTAATTCGTTTTACTATCAAATAGTAAATTAATTAAACGTTAATCACAATGTAGATTTGGCAAATTCAGCAGTGTTTTAATTGGCTAAAACACAACATACAATGTAGTGGGTCCCCCCTGATTTTGTCTGAAAATCTCATAAAAATGCAGTAGATAAGACAGAAAACACCCACCTGGCCACTTGCACTGCACATAGTCAAAAGCAATACTTCCAAAGAAAAAAAAGAAAAAAAAGGGGAGAGATTTTTGGGCAACATATAAAAGGAGAATTCCAAGGTTTTGGCATTTTTACCTAATAATTAACCTGATATTAATTAATTACATGTCAGACAACATTCTAGAAAATTTTATTGATCTATCACTCCAACTCGGATAAATCCCCGTTTTATTAAAAGGTACTAGATTAGTAATTTTTTTGAAACGATATCTGATATGTAATTAATTTATGTCAGAGTAATTTTGGGGTAAAAACGCCCTTTCTCTCATTATTTTAATTATCAAATAATTAATATTCAAATTATAGAAACATACAATAAGCACCACATCATATATATCATGAATGTAATAATATGATTTGTGGACAAAGCTTAATTAAAGATTTGACAACCAAATGAAATTTTCCAAATCGTATCACAAATATTTGATAATATCTACATCCAATCTTATAACTATTTACAACAACATCCATTTCCAATTTAAAATAATTAAATCCAAGATCCCAATTTTCCTTTTTAAAGTTTATTTGCATACCAACAAATTAATTTGCCCTTTTCTCCCATTGGTTGATATAGAAATCTAGCAGAGTCGGCTAATAAAATAAAATGTAAATAAATAAATTTAATTTAAGTGTTTGATCATGATCATGTGAGTTAAGGTTTAATTAATTAGTTTAAGATGATAAACTAAACTGTAATTAATAAAAAATATTTATATCCCTAATACAGTTTGGAAGTGAAAAATCGTGATCCAAAATGGGAAGTCACAAAGGCATCATTTTTATTTTAGGATAAATTACGCGTTTAGTATTTTAATAATTAATTTTGGTCCATTTTAATACATAAATTTTTAATTTTTCAAAATTATTTTTTATTTTATTTTAATAATGTTAAGTTTTTTAAAAAAAACTTGAAAGTTTAGGTATTAAAACGGATCAAAATTGATAGTTTAGACTAAACACGTTAAATTTGTAACGGCAGGTACTAAACTGAAACAAAAACTAAACATTTAGAATGGTTTTTAAAAAAAATAAAAAATTAAGTTTTTGTTTTATTTTAATAATGTTGAGTCTTTTTAAAAAATTGAAAGTTTAGATATTAAAACATACCAAAATTAATAGTTTAGGTACTAAACAAATTAAAATTTTAACGGCGGGGTATTAAAATGAAATAAAAAATAAACATTAAGAATGATTTTAAAAAAATAAAAAATTAAGTACTAAAATAGATCAAAATTGATAATTTAAGTATTAAATACTTAATTTACCTTTTATTTTATTGGATGCAAAAAAACAATGGGAGAGTGTCACTTGTCAACACAGACAATCCTCTACCAAACTTACCTACTGAAAATAGAAGCATGGAAATTTCAGTGAGGAAGATGCATGCTATAATTATGGGTGAAAGCTGTAAAATTTAAAAAAAAAGAAAAAGAAAGCGAAATCATTGAAGGAAAAAGTTATGGCTCGCCTTTTCTCGTTACTTTTTACTATATACATGTTTGATGGATATCCCCTTCTAACTACCGATGCATTAAATGATGGAGGGAGAAATATTTTTTAGAATAAATATATATATTAATAATATAATTTATATAAATAAAATTTCAGAACAAATATCATTAATAAAATAAATAATTAATATAAAAAAATTTAAATTTTAACATAAACACGCTTTCACTGTAAATCCTTATATATATGGGTAAATTCACGAGATAATGTTCTCGAATTTTTTTTTTCACGATATGGTGCACATCATAGATTAATTGCTGGAATGGGGTGAATTACAGTGATCGCCATAGGACGCCATGCAATCCAGGCGACCTTGGAGGTCGCCATGCAATCCGGGCGACCTTGGAGGTCGCCATGCAATCCGGGCGACCTCCAAGGTATATTGCATGGCGCCCTGTGCGTATTTTGCAAAAATCATGGGCCGTGGGAATGCATGGGGGAGGGGATGCATGCTGTGCATGGTCATGCAGATGCATGCTGTGCATGGGACGTGGGAACTGTGCATGGCCATGCACGTCGAACGATGTAGGTCACGGCGGCGTGGTCGGTAGGTCGCCATGGAGTCTCGGCGACCAAGGTCTGGTCCGTAGCTGCTGCATGCATGCGTTGCATCATAGCTGAGATTCCTGCACCCGTAGCTGTATGTGTTGTTGCGTTATTGCAGCGTTAATTTAGCTGTCAGCCTTTCAATGCTCAATAGTTAGACGACAATGCTAATATTATTTGCTTCAACAATCAAATTTAATGACTCTGTCCAACGCTCAGTTGCTTTATATATATAAAGGATATGGTGTTTAGGGTAGAAGCACAAGCAGAACTGGCAAATATAAACTTTGCCGAGAGAAAGAAAAGGAAGAAGAAGAAAAGAAGATAAAGGCTCAAACATAGTTCGTGAGGTAATTTTTTTATTGTTTAATTTAGTTTAATATATGAAATTATTAGTTTGTTAGTTTCGGGTTTAGGGTAAAATTAAAATCTAGTTAATTAGTTTGTTAGTATAAATTATTAGTTTGTTAGTTTAAGTTATATTATATTAGTTTATTAGTTTAAGTTATATATTATATTATATAAAAAATTAGTTAATTAGTTTCTTAGTTTAAGTTATTAAATATAAAAAATATTTATTAATTTGTATGTGTCTTTAAACGTATATTAGGTTGTTCGTTGAAGTTGAAGTTATATTATAAAAAAATTAATTAGTGCTTAATTAGTTTGTTATTTAACCCTAAACCCTAAACTAACAAATTAAACATTTATAATAATAAACTAATTTAAATATAAAAAAATTTACCTTATCTCCCTTTCTTCTTCTTACTTTCCTTTCTCCCTTTCTTTCTTTCCTTTCTCCCTTTCTTTCTTTCTTTCTCGGCTGCAATCTCTTCTCCCTTTCTTCTGCAATCTCTTCTCCCTTTCTTTCTTTCTTTTATAACCGGCTGAGGCCTCAATTATTTCACCAATTGTACAATTGCAGCTATGATATCATCAGCTGATTTCACGCGTTCAATTATTGTACCAATAATCAAATGGTTCACATGCCTCAAATGGTTCACATGCATGCATTGGGAGGTGTAGGCATGCAGCGGGGAGCACGTGAATTGGGAGGTGTAGGCAATGCAGCGGGGAGCACGTGAAGGAATCTATGTGGCTATGTGGCTGTGCATGTGCATGGATGATGGAATGGCGCCGGGACTACATGGCGACCTACAAGGTCGCCGGGACTACATGGCGACCTACAAGGTCGCCGGGACTACATGGCGACCTACAAGGTCGCCTAGGCTGCATGGCGACCTCTCTATTCCTGCATGGCTCGTATATGGCTCGTTGCATGCTCCCCATTGGCTCTCTATTCCTGCATGCTCCCCATTGGCTCGTATATGGCTCGTTGCATGCTCCCCATTGGCTCTCTATTCCTGCATGCTCCCCGTGGGCTCGTATATGGCTCGTTGCATGCTCCCCATTGGCTCTCTATTCCTGCATGCTCCCCATTGCCTCGTTGCATCCTCCCCATTGGCTCGTATGACTCGTATATGGCTCGTATGTCACCCTCGTATGACTCGTATATGGCTCGTATGTCACCCTCGTATGTCACCCCGTATGTCGCCAGGATTGCATGGCGTCCTCCAAGGTCGCCTGGATTGCATGGCGTCCTATGGCAATCACTGTTGAATTCACCCCATTCCAGCAATTAATCTATGATGTGCACCATATCGTGAAAAAAAAAATTCGAGAACATTATCTCGTGAATTTACCCTATATATATATATATATATATATATATATATATATATATATATATATATATATATATATATATCCGCTACTGGCAGTCATGTTTCCCACTTTCCTCCCCTATCCGCTCATCTTACCCTCCAGTGTATCACTAGCTTCTCCAATCTGGTTTAGATTTTTACTTTTCCCCCCGATATTTAGGCGAAATGATGTATCTGCTGGGTGATACTTTTTGGGAATTTGGATATTGTCTCACAAGCTACCAATTACCATGTCATTTCTTTAATTTCCTACCAAACTCTATTAACTTAAAACTGTGAACTCTTGTTGCCTTTTGAGGACCACTTCATTAGATTTAATAATTAATCATAGTTAAATATTATAATTATTCATCACGAGGTAACTTTTTTAATTTATTTTATTTTATACTAATAAAGAAAAAACTGTCACATATATATTATCCAATGATATAATATAATTAAAAGCTTCAAAAATTTTCAAATAATATTTTTCTTTTAAATATGAATGTACCGAACTCCAACGTAGTGCTCTGTTGAAAAGTTGTGGAGAATTAAAGATTTAAATGCACGAAAACTGATAATTTGACTTAAAAGCATAATAATACTTAATGGTACTAATGACTTTTCCTTTAATTCATCATTAACTTAACAGTGCTAATTAATTGATTCAACCGCAACCCAGACATTTGACTAACTACTAATTAGAAGCTGTTTTTTACTTCAAAGTAGGGAACAGTTTAAAGTAAAACGAGATTGGTTACAACTTGCAAGGGGTTAAAAAGATTGGGATTATTCGACTAAATATATGACGGAATCACCCTTTTTTCATAAATAAAAGAATATTTTAAATTAGCAAAAAAAATACGATACGAAATATTGTCATTTTTCATTCAGAAATGAAATAAAGAATTCATTAATAATATATGAAACTCGTGTTGTGCATCAAATATAACTCCTAACAGATCGAAAAAAGATTACACTGGGACCAGAAAAGTAATTTAAAAAGGTAGCTAACGGCCGTTCGCAAGTGAGCTAACGGCTGATTCTTTGAAGGGACTTGAAGGAAGGCTGGTTTTGCCGGTGGCAACAAGGCGTTGCACGAAGCTCTCGATTCTCTGTCCGTTAGTCTCCGTCAGCAACCGTTTCCCGCCAAATGGTAATGATTCTACCCCTCTTTCCTTCAGTACTTCCTCCATTTTTTGCCCTACCATCTTTTCGCGCCCCACTCCGTTTGCCTTCAAGTTTCACAAATAAATGATAATTTAAAATCTGTTTGGCTATTGATAAATTCGAGGAAATTTATATGAGAGAATAACTTTCAGCAGTCAAACTGAATTAATCATGGATTAATTTTTTTTCTTAGGAACCAAACAGACCATCGATAGGAGGGGAAAAAAAGTAACGACAATGCATACCTGAATTCTAACGTAGTCTGCGCGGTTCCAGCCGAAAGCACTCGCCAACATCTGGTCCACCGTCTCCGAGACTCCGTCAAGCGTAATGTCAACGACGGAAGAGGTTGAGCATTCAGTTTTGTTACTGACTTTTGACCTTACGCACGACGGACCGTTGCCTAACGACAAAACCAGCAGATCCTCCACGCCGTTCACCGACGGGAAATCCCTCTTGTTATGGAGAACATGTGTGACCGCTGCCGCAGTAGGGTTGTTCATGACCAAACCGCCGTCCACGGCGGAGCACGAGATCTTGCCATCTACAGATGTCAATGGAAAAGGTTTGAAGAGGCCGGGAGTGGCTGACGTGGCGCGACATACTTCCCAAAGCTCGAAGTTGAAGCTAGGCGATTCGGAAGCGTCGGCGCGAGAGAACACGAAAGGAGCGGAACTCTTGAGGTCAAAGCAAGGAACAAGTAGAGGCTTACAGGTGTCCTTCAGTGTCAAAACGGTTCCGTCTTCTCTCTTAAATACCTCCTTCAACGCATTATTCATGCTCTTACCGTTCAACATCTTCCGACGGCGAAGAAATCCGGCGAGCTTATTAACTTTGAAGAGCTCGGAATGTTTCTGAGTGATGATATTAACAGCTTCCCTAGCGGAGAAAAGAGGATGGCCAGTTCCATCGTCGGCAGAGATCATGGAAGCAAGAACAGCACCGACGCCAGTGCCGACTATAACGTCGAAGAAATCGGTAATTTGAGCATGTGCATCACTGGTTTTGATGCGGATCTGATATTCAAGGTGAATAAGAGCTGCACCAGCTACAACGCCGGTGGTTCCACCGCCGTCAATGCTCAGGATTCGAACCTTCTTGGTGGTGTCATAGTGCGATAGCCACTTCTGCTCCAGTTTGGTGAAGATCTCCAAAGTTACCTTACGAAGCTCCATGTTACGCACTTCCTCTTGGCGCGAAAACAATTTTCCTTTACTTTTGGGTATTTTAAAAAAATCAAAGAGAGAGGTTGCCTCCGTTCACGCTTTTCTGCTGATAAGAAAAAATATAAAGCTTTGCAATTTGTTTCGTTCTCTCTTTCTCTTTCACTATGGCTTGAGACTGAAAGTTGAGAGAATGCGGGTTTGTTTACAGTTGGGCTCTTCGAGTTGAAAAAGAGTGAGCAAGCGAGTTAGGAGAGGACCAAGATGGTTGGACCTTTGGCGAAGCTTAGCTTATATATATACAATATAATCATATGGGTAAACTATCTATTTGGTCAGCCATCTATTATGTAGTTTCTGTTTTGGTCATATAACTATTATTATTTTCAAAATTATATTTAATATTACGTTTTGATTCTATTTTGGTCATCTACATAATGTTGATTCTGACATTGTATTTTTATTATTTTTCAATGCTTATATGAAATTATAATATGCTAACACATCAAAATCACCATTAATTTTTTAACAAAGAATTATCAAAATATAATGTTAGGAATGAGTATTTTTAAAAGATAACAATTAGATGACTAAAACACAAATTAAGTAACAGGTGAGTGACCAAAGAAGTAGTTTACCCTAAGAATATTTAGCAGTAGCGCAGAGAGGTTTTCTTTAAAGAAATAATTTGTATGTTTTACTGAATATTTATTTTCCATTTAGCAGTGAGATTCTTACGTTATGGGCTGTCGTTGCATGTGTTGCTATAGGAAGGGGAAGTGTCCATTTCGGCTTCTGCATCTAGGCTCGGCTCGGCTCGGCTCGGCTCCCGCTTTTCTTTGAGGGGAAATTTGCGTACTAATCCTTCCTACCTTTGTAATGTTAGATATGCCTACCATACCAGACAAGTCCTGTATATTCACAGGGTATCCAAAGAAAATTTTAAAGGCTCACTGTACATGTTAGTGCTATTCTCACCAACCAAATAAATATTCGAAATTTTACTTATTGTATCATTTATTTGTTTTTTTTTTATTTTGGTTGATTAATCATATAAAATTTCAATTAAATTTCATAATCGAACCAAGTAGATTTCTGATTGAGATATACTTTTAAATAAATTTTTATCCATAAAATATTAATTTGAAATTTACTGAACGCTCCAAATTTGGATATTAAAATTTGAATTTGGATTTTATTTATTGTGTAAATATTTAGAATAAAATCTATACATTAAAGATAAATAATTAAGATTTAATATAACATATAAAAACGGATTATCAAATTCAAATATAATCTAGAAATTTTAAAATCGTTTTATATAGGCATCCTATAAATATAAATATCTGAGAAATAACCATCACTATTATATTTTAAAATATTATTAACTTATTTACACTCTTTTAAAAATATATATCTAAATTAACAAACATTCATATTCCTCTTCCATTTTCAAATCTAAATAAGTTTCGCACGGGAGGTGACAGTTAACAATGTATTGAATCCTTTGGACACATTACACTGACTTCATTACTGTTACAAACAGTTCATTTATCCTTTCTGATGCATTGAAATTGAGACTTGTATAATTTAATGTGTTGGGCACATGTATGTCTTCCTCCCATATATTTTCATTCAATATACAATAAACTCATTAGGTATAATTTTTTTAATAGTATGGAGTGATTATAAAAGAATATTTTATTATTATTTTCATAAAGTAAAATTATAGCAGCAGTAAAATAGGAATGGCAATTTAACAATAATAATAATATGATAAAATCGGGGCATATATGGGACATGCGTAAACATGAAACGACATAGGCAACATATTTACTTTGGGGGGGCATGATTTGCAGAGTAATAAATGTGAAGGGTGCTTTGACAAGATGTGTTCTTGCTTTTCATGACGGAAGCTCGGCGCTATCATTCTCTGCAAGTCTTAAGATATATATATAAAGGGACATCAGTAGGGATGTTTTGGGGGTGTCGATGATGCGATAGTACAGTTGAAAATTTTAAATTTTAATATAATTAAAATATATTTTTTAAATTTTGTATTAAAAGTTTAATTTTATATCTCTTAAAAGTTTTGTAATTCATACTTTAGTTACCTAAAACTATTCAATCATCGGCCATTATAAAGTAAACGATCGTGGCTAGAAAACAAGGTGGGTATTGGCTTTGTTGCACTCCCTCTGCCTCTGCAACTGCATGCTTGATGAATTTGGCCCAGTCACTTCCTTCACATTGTGGAAAGGTTTAGCATTTTATTCAAATCCTGCAAAGTGACTCAGTTGATACCTTTACAAAAAGCTGTATTTTGTTGGAGACCAGAATAACTAAAGGTTGTGGGGTTGAAAGAAACAACCTTAATAACAGTCGGGATTTGTTTTGCAAAAGTAAACATATTGGACCATCAGGCTGGGGATATCATCATATTGGTCAATAGTCCCATGTAATCAATCACTTTGGGCCCAAAAGAGTTCAAGAGGAAGAGGGTAAAAGAAAAAAAAAACTGTAATAACACCAAGTTGGAGTTCATTTGTGTTCTTATAATTGATAGTTTTTTTTTATATACATATAATAACAGCTTCAAATTCATGAATCAGAAATAACGCCATTGAGTATAATATCTGAAATGCATGTAGGACAATCGTATGCAAAATAAAAGGGTGTCCGACTAGAGGCTGCCCGTTGAGCAAGGCTATGGGCAGCGCCATTCACCATGTGGCGGATGGCCTTGACTATGATGTGGGCATGTTCACGCAAGACCCGCCGCACGTCCTCGAGATGAAATCGGACAACAGATAAGTCTAGCCGATTATGAACTAATTGACCAATGACGCTTGCAGTATCACTTTCAATAATATCATGAAGGCAACCTAACTCGACCGCCAATTGGATACTTTGCATGATCCGACAGCCTCAATGATGTAGGAGTCATGTATCCCCGGCAATGGCACAGCATGTCCGGCTATTATCAAGCCGCTGGGGTCTCTGGCAACGACCCCAAGTGCAGCCGATTCAGAGGATAACATATTATATATAACATACTTTGAGAATTTAGAATAAATACAGAAAGATAATGTTAACGACCCCATACAGAAACATCTGAATTGATTCATTACTTGGAAATAATTGGAAAATGTTATTGGATCTCATGTTTGAAACACCTAAAGCTCTCTTATTTCCCACTGCATTTCAACATAAAACACATGAACATAGCAAATAGTTGGGAGAAAGTTCCATAGAAACTGGAACTAAATCTAATCATACTCCAATTCATCAGGTGTAACTGGCCGCTTGAGGGGGATCACTGATTTATTTTCCACATCTCTTGACAATGCTTTCCTCATATCTGGAAAAATAAACCATAAAAAATGTAAGAAAAACGCAACATTCTTGATGGATATAAAATTCTACATACCTAACCCATCTTCCTCTCCTGAATAATAGCGTAGCACCCTTCTGTATATTATGTACCCAAGCTGTAAAAAAAGGAGAGAGATAGGTAAGTCTTCTTGCATTTATACACATTTGCAGATACAACACACATTGATTTACGTAATATATAGGCTATTGTTACACATCAATATCTGAGACACTTTCAATGACATGGGAAAGCTGCGTTTCGGAACAGAAGAAAAAGAATCTGAATAACAACAAGAACGTGCTTCTGAAGAGAGAGCAAGAATGGTGCAATATTGTCCACAATGGGAAGTTACAGAACTATTACCTTTTCATACATCTTTATGGCTGGTGTATTAGAAGCCCTCACAAAAAGATCCACAAAATATGCCTTGTCACTGCCAAAAAAAAACTACTTATTGATGACTGAAGAGAGAACAAGAATAAAGACACCCAAAACGAAACTAGAGAGTGCACCGGCTTGACATTAAAGGTAAGAGAGTATTTTTCAGTTTAAAAGCACTAGCATGAACTAAACAAACAAATCATCGTGCCTAAGGAGTACAAAAGTAAGGTGATGACAGAATGTCATAAAAAAACTGGCTAAAAGGAGAGCACTTAGCAAAAGAAAATTATTGATCAATACCTAATCGATGTCAGTTCAAAGCTAGAAAAGCACAGGGTATAAAAACCTTGTCCAAAAATACCCAAATATACATGAACAGCACTTCTGTTCCAAAGGAAGATGTTATAGTTCTACACGAAGCTTAGTGCTTGTGTCCATACTTCATTATTGCAATTTCAACAAAAACTTATAGCTTGCATTCAGAAAGTAGTATTACTGACTGAACCTTAAGACCATTCTAGTGGTTCGTAGAAAGCAACAGCTAAAGCATGGTGCAAATTTATATCTAAAAGGCCAAAAGGACAAATATTAAAATTTTAAAACTTTGCAAATTTCAAATCTAGTACTCGACCCTAAAATGCTATTGAAAAAGATAATACTTAGGTAATTACTAATATTGTAATGCCCTACAGGCTAACTGCAGACAAAAGTTATACTAAATTGCACACCAATCTTACATCTTATCACTGATTTCTTCAAGAAGGTTCATCAGTTTCTTAGCAAGCTGTTGCCTACGATATTCAGGTGCAACGGTGACTGCTGTTACATGGCCATGCCAAGACTCACCTTGTCCCTCAACTTTCCCCATAACTACAACAATTTCGAAGGCATCGAATTTAGATACAATACCAAAATAGCATATCCCTCTTCAAATTAAATCTTCAACATAACAACCTTCTGAAAATATGCGATTTCAATTGCTTATAGTGATAATTAAATATGGAAGGCAATGAAACCACAATCACAAAACGATTATTATTTTCTAATTACGAGAGTTCGAATTCCAGATCAAAAATCTAATTCGAAAAAGGAAAGAGGGAGACGGAGATCTCACTGTAACCCATTATTCGTTTGCCGGGGCCTTCAGCTACTTGAAAATAATCGGGCCAACGAGCCAAATACGTCAAGTAGAATGACATATTGAACTGTAATAATAACATGATTGCCATTAAAGGAACCAACTTCACTATTCGCCCGAGCATTTGTTTTGAGGTTCAAAAAAAATAGAAGGGAAAAAAGTTTCCAGAACTTACGGTTTCAGTTAAGTGGTCGAGATTGACGGAAGTGAAACGGAGGAGATCGTTGCAGCAAAATCGGCGTATCGTTGTCATCTCTCTGTGTCTCGGAAAGCCGGCTGGAAATGGAAGCTCTAATTAAGCTTTAATGAATATTGAGAACCCTTATTACACTTTAACTAAGTATGTCCTTTGAAACCATGAACCTAAGTGGACTATATTGGGCTATTTAGGCCCACATTTTTTATTACAAAGAATTATGACAAGCTACTCTAAACTATATATTTATTTTATCGACTTGTCATTTTTTTATTAAGTTAATGTTGATTATAAAGTAGTATATTTTAAATATTTTTAATTATTTGTAATAAACTTTCAATCACCTTGCAGTCGCTGGTACTCAACTGTGACTTCTAAGAACAACAATAACAATTCATTTAACTAATGAGGTAAATTGGTTCCTGCTTATGGACTTGTCATTTAAAAAAAATTATTATTATATTGTTTAATTTTAAAATGTTACTTGAACTATCCTAAAATTATTATTTTTAAAAAAAAATTAATAAAAATATTATACGAGGCACTTTGATAATATCCAATTTTAATAAAATAAATAAATATTATAATACGTCTTATTTCTTAGAATTTCTTTTTATCCAATATACTTTTCTTACACCTAAATTGAATTATGTTTATTTTAAAATTTGTATTTTAATTTATTTTTTTTAGAATTAAAAGAAACCTAAAGAAATACATTAGGCATATCCAGAACAGACACAATCACGATTGAGCAGAAAAAAAAAGGAATCGATAAATAAGGTATGCGAGGATAGCTGATCAGAAGTATTGCTATCAACCTTGAAGAAGAAATCTGTTGTCATGTTCGCTTCACGTCCGATAAGATTGAAATCTACAAGCCAAACTCGATCAAACAGTCTACCAATTTTCCGTACCAAGGAATAAGGGCTTTTGAGGGAGGCGTTTGTAATCAATTACCCATTTGGAGTTGGAGCTTCTCAAACCCATGGTTTTCAGAACCGGAACGGTTAACGAACCGATCATACTATCGGTTCACTGGTTCAACCGGTCGAATCGGTTGGAAAAATCGGACAACGTCATAATTATTTTAAAAAATTAAATAAAAATACTAAAAATATTTAATAAAAAAATAATTTTTTATATCACAAGTCATATTCAAAGCAAGTCATAACATATATAAGTTAAAAACCATAAAATCAAGTGAAACAAAATGATTCAAATTAACAACAACATAATAATTAAGGTAAAATGTATTAAATAATAAATATAATTATATAACTATAATTAAAATATAAATTAGGGGCTAAAAAAACCATAACAAAATGATATTGTTTGGTTTAATTTTTTTTTTAAAAAAAACAATCTCACATGGCTAAGAAACATAGAAGAGCATCCCAAAAGTCTAAAGAGTAAAAATATGAGAACAAAACAATCTTACATGTCTAAGAAACATAGAAGAGCATCCCAATTAACTTCTATAAATAATAGAGGTAATTTGACATTCAAAATCATGGAGCCTTTTGGTGAGCATTGAGTGAACTATTCTTTCACTTCAATCAAGCTCGAATTTTAGGCTTCAATCGAGCTTCTAATTTTTTTTTGAGTTCAAGCCTTTTCGAGTTCAAGTTTCAAGATTATATTTCGAGTTCGAGTTGAACTTGATAATTTTTAGCTTGTGAGTTTGAGTCGAGTTGAGCTTACTTTTTAAAGTTTTCAAGTTCGAGTCGAGCTCAACAATACTCGAGTTCGACTTGGCTCGTTTAACAAACGACGTCGTTTGGTTTAATTTTTTTTAAAAAAAAACAAAATTGGCGGGTTTTTTTTTCATTTTTTCCGGTTTTCAGCCGGTCCGGTTTGAACGGTTCAGCAGTTTTGACTGGTTCACCAGTAGCGGTTCAACCGGTGTAGATTGAACCGGACTAGGCAACGGTTTCCAGTTGAACCGGCCGGTCCGGTCCGATTTTCAAAACACTGCTCAAACCCATAATTTTATGCTATCTTCAATCATTCAATAATTCCCTATAGTTCAGCTGTGATGACTGAAGCCGAACCAAGATGCTTGTTAAATAAATAAATAAAAACTATCGTCGTGCGTCGTGAAGCTGCTGACGTGGTTACCTCACCAAAACGGCATCGTTTTAGCACAAATGTTTAAATGGTCATAAAACCTAAAACGACGTTGTTTTGGCACAACTGTCTTAATGCTTTCCATATTAATAAAAATTAAATTTAATTAAACAATTATAATATTAATAAAATAAGAATTTAATATTATTTGAAAGTAATTACATTTAATTAAAAATAAAATTAATATTATAATTAATAGTTTGAGGAGATTATAAAGTGGTATATGTTTAGAATTTTCTTAAACTATTGATAGTGCATACACACTCTGCAAATATCCTTATTTGAACTCATGACCTCTAAAAAGAATAATATTCCCTTTTATTATTGAATCAATTTAATAATTTTTGCTAAATACTTTTTAACACTACAATAACCAATTCCTGATTTAATTGTCTACTATTTTTATGGCCCATATCTTCATCCTAAAATTCGAGCTCTATTTTATTTACTACATGAATTAGTTGATCTTTCTGCTATGATGAAATAAAATGCATTTCTATAGATAATTTGATAATAATATGATAATTGAGCGTTTACTTTATATAAAAAACCTTTAACTTATGTTAAACATTGACAAAACATGCTTACCTTACTTTATCTAGTAGATATGTTGTGTAACATTATATACTTATAAAGTTTGAAAGTAAAATTGGCAATATTACACAAAAAGATGTTTATGTTTGAATTGGATGTTTATAAAAGAGTGTCACACCACAAATTAGGGTCTATTTTAAAAAAAATTAGGATTAAATTGAAATTTTAGTTAAATTTGGGGACCAAAATAAAATTTTAGTTAAATTTATACCCAAATCAAAAAGTAACCAAATCTTAAGGACCTAAATGTAATTTACCTTTTTTTGGTTGAGTTTAAAACCCCAAATTCACCGGTTTCCATTTCCGAAAACTCATCTCTCTCTCTTCAAACTTTCCATTTTTAGACAATAAACTTTGATAGTCATTTAACTTTCGACGTTACTTTGTGATCGACACCGCCCATACCATGATGTTTTTATATCGTCCTGAGTTCAACGGTGGTTGTCTCATTGTTATCGTCACCAGCGTGTGGAGGGGTGAGTGAAAGCAATTCCTGATGTTATCGAATTGAGCTCTCCGTCGTTCACCGTTGTGAACTGAGCTTGATCATTGTCTCAAAACCCCTTACAATGCATATAGGATTTTTTTCGCAACTTTTCCAACCCCATAAGGCCCAACACGCGTCGCTGCTACGTGGGGAAGTCCCATCGCCTGTGGGTTTCTAGAAATTGGGTCGACCCGATCCGATCCGACCTGCCTGCCCAAACCGACCAGACTTGAATCGAACGGGTTAGTCGTGACCGTTGACCATTGACCGACCGTTGTTGACATTTTTTGAAAACTTCTATCTTGACGTTTTTCAACGTCTTGAGCTCGATTTTGCTATTCGTTTTGCCAAATTATTATCCGAAAGCTCCAAATCGAGCCCGTTAATCCAAAAATGCTTAGTATTTTTAGAATTTTTGCTTATTTATTTGAGATTTGATTATGGAATTGATACGAGTATATATTTATATAAAGGTGCTCGCGTTTCTCCCGACTAAGGGTCAATGAGATTCAGTGTTTTCCATCCGTTAGATCCACTCGTTCAGCGTTCTTCGAGAGTTGCTCATAGGTTTTTGTAAATTATTTAAATATATGTTATTATTATTCATATTAGAAATCAATATAGATTTTTCAATTTATAGAATATAGCGCTGCCGCTGATCGTGATCGACAAACCCAATAGTAGACTTCCTTATCAGACTACTCAGACTGATACATGTGTGTTTTCTGATGGTGTTACATTATTGTTTTAAACTATTTATCTGAATGTTTTAGAATTTTGATGACACTGAATATTTTTATGACATTATACTTGGTTTCCTGAATATTGTTTATATGATATATGATTTACCATATATTTCTGATATGATATCTGATTATTGTATTTTGCATATGATTTCTGATTATGGAATATTTTTATGTTTTAATTGATTAAACTACCATTTTCACTCGAATTCATACATGTTTATTACTATCATTGGGGGTATTATTGGAAGAAGTATATCAAGCTTAGTCTATAACTTGAAAGACCTTACCGCAAGCTCCTTTGCTTTGTGCACAGAGTAAGTCCTTACCGCAGGTTCTTATCCTATATGTATAAGGCCCTTACTGGGTGTACAAATGGGTGTATGATTATGGGGAACCTACATATTCTAGTGATTGGATAGGGGTAGTGGTCATATTTTTAAAACATGTTTTATAAATTGATTTTTACTGAAGTATTTTATCAGTATGTTTTTATACACCGTAAGGGGCACATTGAGCTTTTTAGCTCATTATGTAAATTTTAATTTTTTTTAGATAGTAGCAGACCATAGGTTAGCAGACTTGACATCAGAGACCTATACTCCTATTTTTGTATCAATGTATATCTTTATATGCCTTTTTGTTATAGTGTCACATGTTTTTGCTACTGTCTTGATATATTTGTATTACCGATATTTTGTTATGTACATGTTTTATACAATATTTTTTAAAAATATAATTTATTTTTAATTTTAAAAAATAAAAGACATGTAAATATATAAGGATTTTTTTAATTAAATTAACTTTCTTAAACAATAACTCCAATTCCATCATAATTCATAAATATTATAAGTATAGATATAGATAATTAAATATAAATGATAATTGGATTTTTATAATTTTTTAGTCAACAAACGCGAAGAAATAAAAAACGGCGCCCCGATATCCTTTATATTTGACGGAAGTCAGATAAGGCTTCGGAGAATAACCATATCTAAGCCCTAGATGGATCTTCTCAAAGAAGAACTTCTCAAGAAGCGGCAAAGCCTAGCTCAGCAAACCGGCGGGAAGCGCGTGTTTAAGCGCTCCGAGATTGAGCAAAAGCAGATCCAGAACCTTCGCGAGCAAGAAAAACGCGAAGTCGAAGCTA